GTTTTAAAATTCCAAAATTATTTAATTAAATGGATCTTACACATCATTATAAACCCAGCCTCATTGCACAGAAGTGTATTCATTTATTTAGTCAGAAAGATATTTTAAGTCCACTATTATATGGAACTCGTAGATACACGGGTCTTTTCTTTAAGGACCCTTTGTGTAGCTGGATTGAATACAAAACAAAACAAACAAACAAATAAACAAAAACAGGAAGTAGTTTGTTGACAGCCAGACATGGTATGTGAGACGAGGCCAAATGAGAGCTCCAAGGATTTCCTGCCTGAAGTAGGCAAGCTGAAGGACCTAGCTGAAGGATTCCAGAAGGGCTATCAGGATATGAATGGGGGACATCAGTAACAAGGCACTAGGAAACAGGAACAGACTAGGAAGCACTAGTGTACCTGGAGCCAATCAGGCTGCTTGGTGAGTGGCTTAGCAAGGGCATGGAAAAAATGTAGATTCATGCCACTTGCTGGGGTAGAAGCAATATTGAGCAACAATGCCCCATATTCTCCCTATGTGCAGTTATGGAATCATCATCTTTATTATTATCCTTATTTGCATGAGTCAGGATGAAGCTAGCAAAGTTGAGGCTATACCATCCCATTGAAGACTCCCCAGGGAATATGAAGAGGAATTGAGGTACACTCATGCCAACTGAAGCACCACTGTAAATAGTTAAGGACGTGCCCACAGTCTGGTACATTGAGCCTCCCCAGAGAAGGTTTAACCTCAAGGATTAGTTCTTTATCTGAGACCCCAAAAGTTACCTAAGACCAACCCAGCACTGCAGAGGTTTCTCAGTGAGCTGTAAGCCAGCCTGGTCTACACAGTGAGTTCCAACTAGAGCTACGTAGTCAGTTTCTATCACATCGAAAACAAAACTCTCAAAGGTCAGGAGATGCCTTCAGCTGAGAGGGCTCAATGGACATAAAAACCAGAGCGCCCAATTAGAAGTTCCTATGACTGGTAACATGCATGTGTGTGGTCCTATAATTACAAAGCCCTGGCTTCTTCACCTTTAAAACATGAAAATGCTTCAGAGACTGAAAGTTTAGATTCATTCTCTCTGTGCTGTGAATAGAGTCGAACGTATTGTCAGGGCTGAGATTGGTTCAGTTATTCTCCATTTGCGTGACTTGATGCTTAATTTCCTGGGCCTCAGTTTCCTCTCCTTTAAGGACTAGGTAATAGTGCCCTTCGGAGCTTTATAAACAAGAAGTCACACATAGCAGCAAGTTCCCTGGGCAGTCCACGAAACACACTTAAATTTAGTCCTCCTTTAGCTAAGTGTTTATAGTTACAGTTCATAAGGCACTTTTGAGGACTTCACAATAGCTTCTTGAGCCAGATACAGTTGTTACCAGTTTTAGAGTTGAGGAAGCCCACTGAGAAACACTGAGCATAAGCAGTTGGGATGGTAGGAGTTGAGGCAGGAGAGTGAGCCCAGTTCACTCTCCTGCCTCTTTTTACTTCCTTATGGCACGACTTCTAGACTCTGACTCAGGTTCGTGGTGTCTGCCATCTTTCTGTTAGACAGAGCTGCTGCGCCCAGTTCTCCATCTTTCCAGAGGTGCATCTGCTTCCAGTGCCCCGCCCCTCTGTCAGGGTTCTAATGACTTCCTGTGTGGAGAGCAGTCTCCTGCTCACCCATTTCACAGTAAACGGTGCAGAGTGCCTGTGGGTCTCCAGCTGACAAGGAGCATCGCACAGAGGGCCGACGTCCTTCATGAATCCGTCTCACACCACAGCATTCATTCTACAAGGACACGCACTAATCATTTACCTAGAGTGAACTGAAATCCCTAAATAACTCAGGTGGAAAAAAAAATAATCAGAGTGCCGAATACCGGTGTTATTTATAGACAGGTCTGCATTCCAGATCCCTGAGTCAGGCCCCCTGGGAGAATGCTTCCTTATTCTGCAGTTGACACAGGGAGATTTTGATCTGGGTCATACTCTGAATGCTTGTACCCCCTTCCCAATTCTAAAGTGCACAAGTCCTTATCCAGTCAGTGGGAAAACGTAGATAAGAAATGTAATATTCCCTCAGCACAGCCTTTGTTCCTCCTGGCCGCTCCTTGAGCAAACACAGCTTCCAGAGCTCTTAAGATTTGAACTGCCCACTTATGTTATTGATGGTGATTCTAGAAAAATACCAGATCCAAAGCGACGCTTATTCTCTTGCATCTGCCTGGGGTTTTCCTGAGTGCTGTCTGAAAAAGGAAATTTCCCTCTTATCTAGGTTATCAACATGGTGGAGATGGCCGGATGTGACTGCTTGGTAATTTGTAATACCACACATCTACAATTTTTATTCCCAAAGGACAGCTTCATTTCTACGACTCTATTTGTCCCTACTCACTGAGGTCAGAAGAACAAGCATCATCCATGTTCAGAAGACGAAGTCCTGAGAGGCCAGCTTGTCTAGATGGCAAGATTGAGGTGTTGCCAGCCCCCAGGAGACATATCTAAAGCACATCTCCACTTAGATTTGTCACATCTCCTGGGCCCCATGCCCAAATATGGCATATTGGACAGACAGTGGAAGGTCAAGAAATTGTCCATCCGCTTAAAAGTTTTGCCTAGGGCTCTCACACCCATTTTGTAGGGATCAAAGAGAATCGTCTTTCTGAGTCCTAATTTTGTGCTATATTTATAAGACTTACTTGATTTAGTTTAGGCATCCCAGCTAAATGGCAGTTAAAGGGTAAGCCTGTTGAACTGGGCTCACTCTCCTGCCTCAACTCCTACTACCACAATTGTTTATGCTCAGTGTTTCTCAGTGGGCTTCCTCAACTCTAAAACAGGTAACAACTGTATCTGGCTCAAGAAGCTATTGTGAAATCCTCAAAAGTGTCTTATGAACTGTAACTATAAACACTTAGCATAAGGAGGACTAAGTTTAATCACCCACCAAGGTTCTAAGGGACCTCTGGCTCACATTATGAAGAGGAGGTCAACTCCATTATAACATAGGGCAATATGACATGGCCTTATTTGTTCTACGGGAGAACAAAGACTTACTAAAATGTCTGTCATATTTGTATTGACCCCTTCCCCAAATCTCAGTAATTGTAACATTGTTTTTTTTTTAATCTAATCAAACAAACCAAAAGAAGGAACCATTGAATTTTTGATAGTTGCCAATATCCTTGAACAGCATGAGGAAGGTTTCTTTTCCCCTGCAGGAAATGTTTTTTCTTTCTCTATAGAAATTATATTTCTCTATAGAAATTATTTTTCTTCTCTTCTCTGTGGGTAAACATTTAAGCAAAAGATCACAAGTTACCAAGCAGGGTCAGCCAAACAAGTGGTCTTTGAAGGCACTCATTCGCCCATGTGTGGGACCTAGACAATGGGATGATGTTCTGCCTCCATATAATTTGTATCCTTAAGGGGTAGATAGACAACAAATTGCTGAAGATGTATGATAGGTACCATCATAGATAAAAAGTATTAAGGAAGTCCAGGTGTGATGGCCCCTGCCTTTAATGCCAGCACTCGTGAAACTGAGGCAAGTGGACATCCGAGTGTGAGGCCAGTGTGATTTACACAGTGAGTTCTAGGCTAGCCAGGGCTACACTGGAAGACAAGCATGCCTGGCATGGAGAGAAGAGAGGAACTTGGTCCAAGCCTTTGACAATATTCACTCATCACAAAGCCATTCCTCAAGGCTGGGAATGTAGCCATTTATCATGATGTGGTCCTGAGTCCAATCCCCAGCAAAACCAAGCACCAAACAGAAGTTACTCTCTGCTCTCTTCACCTCCACCCTGAGCACGCACGCATGCGGTGAAAACACCTCTCCCAAATCGCACAGCCCACAAAGTTCGCCTTTTGGCACACAGAGTGCTGAGTCCCAGCATCAGCCTATACTAGCCCATAACCATAAGCCGAACTATCAAACCTGCTTTATTCGTCCTCCTCTTTTCTCGGCCCACGTTAGCCGCCTGGGCTGGCTCTAGGCTTCAGTCCTTCCACCCACTTATGCTGCTTTTCCCCTAGCCTATGCCTTCAGTGGCTCTCCTCTGAGCAGTGGAGGAGCCTTGAACTCCTGTCCTATAGGCAGCATTGGTATCAACCCTACACATCTACTACCCCTAGCTGCTTTCCCAATGTCAAGTATTCTGAGGGTCCCAAAGAGTTCCTCCTCCAGGAAGGAAGAGGAGGAAGATGGTGTTCTGGACTCCTAACACCATCCAGAGTGTCCCTTGTCTATCAGAATTAAGTATATTGTCTCCATGTCAAATTCCCTTCTGCCCACTGTCCTCAAGCACAACTCACATCCTCACTCTGTAACCCTCCTACCTGGACAACTTCAGTACATACCCCTTGCCAACAAAGTAAAATCCTGACTCCCATCACAGTAGGATACAGCCTGGACATCTACAGAGACCCATGCAGTACTACCCTTTCCAGCCTGACCACACTGCCTCCTTGTTCGGAACCCCATATGGCAGCGTTTGGAACATTGTAAAATGCTCGTTGTGCTTGCTAGTTCTTTGTTTGTTTGATTGTTTTTTTGAGATAGGGTTTCTCTGTGCAACAGTCCTGGCTGTCCTGGAACTAGCTTTCTACACAAGGCTGTCCTCCAACTCACAGAATCTGCCTGCTTCTGTCTCCCCAGTGCTGGGATCAAAGGTATATGCTACCACTGCCTTTTTTTTTTTTTTAATCAACTTCACACAAGCTAGAGTCACCTGAAAGGAGGGAACCTCAATAGAGAAAAAGCCTCTATTAGATCCAGCTGCAGGCATACAAGGCTGTAGAGCCTTTTCTTAATTAGTGATTGATGGAGGAGAGCCCAGCCCATTGCGGGTGGGGATAGGCTGGTTTCCATAAGGAAGGGGACGCAGCAAGTCACAGGGAGCAAGACAATCCAACTCTTCTGTGGCTTCTGCGTCAGCTCCTGCCTCCAGGTCCCTGCTCTGTTTGCCTTCCTGTCCTGACTTCCTTCAGTGATGGGCAGTCACGGGAAAGAGAAAATGAAACAAATACTTTCCTCCCCACCTTGATTTTGGTCATGGTGTTTCATCACAGCAGTGGTAAGCCTAAGATGCTCATTAAATATTTACAGATAAGTAAATGAATAGGTAGATGGATGGGTGGATGGATGGATGGATGGGTGGATGATGGAATGGATACTACAAGCATGACCTTTAAAGCTTCCAAGGCTCTCCAGCTCTGATGGATGCTGTACCTACCCTGTCTTTACACATTCTGATTCAATTCACTGCTCAATCGTCCCAAACCCTTGACAGTGTTGTCTGACCTGGTAGATCCTTGTCCCTGGAATGCCCTACTTTTATCTGACACAGCAAATGACTTTCAATTATTAGTCCCCTGTCTGACACACCTCTCTCTCTACAACCAGAACTCTATCTTGCCATAGACGCCCTCTACCTGTGGGTGCACTGACGTCTTGATCACACCAGGCCTACAGCATGTAGGACAGTACCTTTAGTGCCCTGTGTGTTTAATGACATCAGAGCTAGGAGGAAGGAAGCAGTGGGTGGAAGTGAATAGTGCCTCCTTCCCTTCTGCTGTGTTGAGTGGCAGTCTAATTGACCTGTGGGTGTTTCTAACTCACAGCAATATGACTTTTGTCTTTCATAGGCAAGGTCTGCCAAGTCCTTTCTACCCCGGCTTGGCCTTCTACTCTTGAATACTCCCAGCAGCACCAAGAAGTCCCTTTTAATTCCTCTGTTTTCCACACTCCCACAACTAGCTAGGCAGTCTCCTTGATTTCTACTCAAAAACTCCCCCCCCCAGAACTGAAGTTACTGTTTCCCAAAGTGTATCTGGTGCCCTTCATCCTGAGAGCATGTCTGTGGGGGAAAGATTCCAGCAAGAGTGTGTTCCACATAGTAAATGCTCTGTGAATCTCTTTAGAAAAAACTCTTTATCATTGAGTTAACATGTGTGCGTGCACATGTGCACGTGCTCTCTCTCTCTCTCTCACACACACACACTTTATTGAAGCTGTAGAATGTAATTACATAATATTTTCATGGGTGATGGAGATGTTCAAGAGCATTTGTGAAATAAGCCGAGGGATGGCCTGCTGAAGGTATCGAGGTGCATGTACACAGAGATAAACGCTATCCAGTGGCACAAAGCCACAGTGGAAACACAGTCAGTCACCTGTGTGTGGGTCCCACTCCACTTTCTACCCCTTACCAGTCCCCTTCTGTAGACTGAGCAAGAGTCCCGCTCAATTCACAGTTGCTAAGTGGCAGGAGAGCACTGCACAGTCACAGGTCTATCCTTCCCAAGTTGATGATAGCCATCCTACTCTGTTGATGCAGGATCCATGGACCCCAGCAATGCTGGCTGCTGCACAGTACAGCAAGCTCTTTCCAGACAGCATCCCACTCAAAGGCCTCAGTAACCATCTGGAGCAAGGGTTGTAACTGACATTTCCAGTCACCTTGGTCGGAATCGATCTGTCTCTACATTATCTTTCCATCCTAAAAAATTGTTCTAGAGCCAACTAGCATTCTCCTCGGTACCTACTACGGCTTCCGTATGGTTATTCCTTTGCAGACATTCCTTTGAGAAGCCCGAAGGAAGGATTCTGGGGAAAGCCTCTCATCCAGCTGCCCATCAGCCCAAGATCAGCTTCCGTGTTTGGAGAGAGAAGGCATCATTCATGGTACACGCCTACATCAAGGTAGCTTTTATTTCTTCTTCTTAACAAATGTGCGGGGACAGGGGTAGGAGACTGAAGGGGCTCTGTAGTTGAGCACAAGCAAGACTATCGCCCATTAGGAAGGAAAACTGTGATTTGTGGGGCTCACCTTCTGTACTGAGAAGGAACCCACCTAACAGAGAACTGGAGTTTTAGAGAAGCTGAGTAGGGCATCGCTCCTCCCAAACCACACAGGCTAGCATTACAGTGGAAGGAAGGAGGCCAAAAGAGCGTCTGCCATTTTCCTGCTTTCTCAGAAGGATCATGGTGGATGAATCCAGGCTGACCAAGTCGGGGTCGAGAGGAGGATGCTGTGGATTAGATGTGGTGTTTCTCTAAGGGGTTAAGCACTGGGAACTCCCTCCTCCCCCCCGCAGTGTGAGAGTATTGAAAAATGAAGAATGCGTTAAGATGGTAGTTCTCAACCTGTGGGGCGACACTCTATTAGGGGTTCACCGACCCTTTTACAAGGGTCACAGATCAGACCAGATGTCCTGAGCATCAGATATTTACATAATGATTCACAACAGTAGCAAAGTGACAGTTATGAAGTAGTAGCGGACATAATTTTATGGTTGGGGAGTCACCTCAACAATGGGGTCTTGTATTAAAGGGTCACAGCATTAGGGAGACTGAGAACCACAGTTTTAAGAGGTGGGGTCAGGGGGGCTCTGAAGTCATGGGGCTTCACCTTGGAAGGGATTTATATTCCCTTTCCTATAAGAGCCTGTTAGTTCTCCAACTGAATTGGTTATCACAAGTGCAGCTGATGCTAAGGGAAACCGGTCCTTCAGTCTTTCCCATCTCATGACTCCTCTTCTCCTGACCACACTGGCATAAACCAAGCTGTGTGGTGTTGTGTGCCAAGCTTTGAGACCACCCAAGGTCCTCACCTGAGCTCAGGTTTTCAACCTCCCAAACCATAAGTCAACCCCTACTCCACCACCACCCCCCTTTTATAAAACACTGGTCTTGGGTTGAGCAATGTGAAAAGCTGAAGCAGAAATGAACTCCCTTTGTCTATGTCTATACTGGACAAGCATGACATCCATGGCTAGTGCATGGCCAGAGCAGCTGTTGGGGTGCAGAGTTTTTCCAGGCATCTGCATCACTCAGATGAGTAATAACCTCTCAAGGGGGGAACAAGCAGGGTCACCTGGCTTGCCCCTCATCATGATGAGGAGCGCCATTAAAAGTGGTCATTTTTAGCAGAGGAACCAACTGTAATTCATGGGTGACCATCTGAATTGTGAAAGCAGGGGAGACCTTTGCAATACCTGGAAAACTGAGTTGCCAAATGTATAGCATGAATGTATGGGTCTGCAAAGCCCGTGATTCCTGACGGGCTTGGTAGAGAGCAGACTGTGAGTACTGAGTCTCCTTTGGGAAAGATGTGGACCAAAGTAGGGCTCAGGCTGGGATGTAAGTTTGGAGGCACCTGGAAGGATGAGGAAAAACCAGACCTTGGAGCCAGCCAGCCCTGTCTGACCTGTCATTCTCCTATTCTGCCATAACCTCTTTGAGACTTGGGTTTTCAAGCTGTATAGTTCACATATAAACAATAATTGAGAATAGTTTGAAAGATCAATTGAGATGTACACGTAGACTGTAAACTGGTGTGCTGTACAACGTGAACTGCTATTCACGAGGTCATTTGTGTCTGAATCAGATCAGCTGGGCTAGGCCCCATACACGCAGGACGCCATCAGAAGCAACCCCCTGTTCTCATTGCCTCTCCCAACGGCATCCACCACAGCTGCCCCTCTGATTTTCATCAGGTGTCGGTGCCACAGAAGCCTCGAAAGCTGCAGAGAGGAACCGCCATGGCTCTGGATCCTAAGTAGTCCATAATCTTACTAAGAGCAACAGACTCGTAAACAGGGATTACACCTGAACGACAGAAGGTCAACTCAAACTAGAGGGGGAGGGAACAGAAGAAAGATGGGCATGGGAGAAACGAGGCTGTGGTGAGAGTCCATTGGTCTGGTTGGAGTCCTCAGTCATGTGGCGCTGTAGTGGGCCAGTGGGTGGGAGGTGGCCCCTGAGCGACTGGAGAAAGCATCATCCCCCTGCAGAAGTAACTCGGGGGGGGAGATCGTGGAAGCTCCCAGACAACAGCAGCTCTGAAATCATGCAAACTTCTGGGATACCATGCTGGGGCTTCAGACTGGAAATCTAAATGGCTCCAGGACCACTGAGAATGGTGTTGTCTTGCAGACCTCTAGGAGGTGACCTGTAAATCCTACTCATTAGAGGTTTGCATATCTATTAAGACTATCTTGTGGCCACCAAGTGTCTCGGAGGAAAGTGACTTTTGTTTTCCATTCACCAACTGTGCTCTATGGGCTCAGTCACTTTTGCCTGAACTCTGGCAGTACACATGGGTCACGGTGATTAATCTTTTCGCCACCACCCTCCCATCTCAGGGGAAAGGACTGGTCATGTTCTTTCTCAGGAAGGGAGCCCTGGTGACAGCGGGCTCAGCCTGGTGGGGCCTGTACTGACTCGCCTCCGTGAAAGACAAACACACTTTTGCCTTCGTATAGCCGCCTTATTGGTCTTGTTTATTCACCGTGTGCTTTATATTTCTTTTCAAATTTCAACTAACATGATATCTTTTAAAAACAACATAACATAGTTTAAAAGTCCATTTGAAAGGTGCGGCTTTGAGCTTTGAGTTTGCGAAGAGCAAATGTCCTGCCTTCTCTCATTAGGCATTCTTCCCATTCTAAATGTTTATGTTCAGTAAGGATTCCAATCCAGGCCTTCCCCAAAGCGTCCAGGCTGAAGGGAAATCCCAAGCCTTCGGGAAAGGAAGTGAGGTCATGTGGGAGGGATGTTCTCACACCAGAAAGGGGATTTCTGGAGAAAGGTCACCTGCAGTGGAGAAAGCTTTCTCCTCCCAAGGGTGCGTGGCCCAACTGTCCTGTCCCCTGGTCCTCTGGGTCTTGCTTCTTTATTTTTGAGCATCACAGAGCCTGGGTGTCCTGACACCTGGCAAGTGTGTCCTGCTGCCCTGCCATAAGTCACTGCCTGAGGTCGGAGGCTGCCTGTTCAGTCATTATTCCTAGCACTTAGTACACTGCCCTGCATACAGCTTGGCATTCCCACTCGAATGTGACATCAGGACACGAGTTATCTGCAGGGGTTTCTACACACCACGGCAGGGCGCTCTGACAGATCTAAACTGGTGAGTTTAGATCAACAGAGGACTTTTTTGTTGTTGGATATTTTTGTTTCTTTTTGTTGTTGTTGTTATTGTGTTTTGTTTTTGGATTGGCTCATCCAATCCTTGTGACTGACTGGCCAATCCAAGGTCCTTAAAGACCTGGGAAACCTCAAGCTGCAGGCAGGAACTGGTACTGTGGTTTTGAGTCAGAATTTCGTTTTTGCTTTAAAGGCCTTAGCTGATTGAATGAATGCAGGCCACCCCAGCTATCAAGAGCAATCTTTGAAGTTAGCTGATGGCAGATGTCAGTAACAGCTACAAAGTACCTCCCCAGGGATATCTGGAGCAGTGTTTAATAACTGGGTAATACAGCCTAGCCACACATGAAGCCGAGTCTCACACCCGATGTCACAAAACCACTTACCACCAACCCACCCTGTCCTGAGCGGATACCACGCAAGAGAGCTGGGAAACAGAACTAGTCTCATCCTGTCACCTCTTCCAGCCAGGGCTAGGACACTTTCAACATGCTCCCTGACCTCCTACAGAGACATTTCTAGTGAGAGAGACGGTGCAGCAGGCAGAAAACAAGTTACAGACTTCTATTTTGGGTGAGATAGCCTTGAGTTATCTTAAGAATATATCTGAGGTCAGCCAGACTAATATTACAACTTTAGTTGCCTGCAGAAAGAATTTAAAATACTTTCAATAAATGAGTTATGAAATGACCCAAATGCCTTCATGACAACAAATGTCAAAGCACCCTAAGCAGTCTGGGTAGTTGGGGAAAACTCGGCATGGCACCTGCTTGCCTCATTGCCTGAGGGTTCAGAATGCCAATCAGACACCCTGGTCCCTGTCCAGGTCTTGCTCTGAAGTCCCTTGGATAAATTCCTCAAGAAACTGATGGAGGCACAGATGACTGCCTTGGCTTGGGGCTGTCTGCTGTCTTGCCCATGGTAAATTCCACTTGGGCTGAGCTCAGGCGCGGTCTATTTTTGGGGTGGTCGCATTGCATCCTGGTTGCTTCCCCAGCAGGTGCAAGCAGACAGAGAGCATCTGTTCCTTTCCACAATACAGACAGCTTTTATGAGGGTAATGCCCAGGACTATGCATGCTCTAATTAAAGATTGGGCTGCATCATGGCTACATTGCTCGCACAACAATTATTGGATTTATCTCTTATTCTCGAGTTCAAGTCATTCAAGTAGATGCCAGTGTCCCTACATTCCGATGCCACATAGTCAGAGCCATTAACAAGTCTCCAAAGCTCAGATTGGAGTCTGAGTTTGCATCAGCTGCTGGGTTTGGGGACATAGTGAAGTTGAGGGAGGGTGGAGGTTCTTATGGGGACAGAGAAGCAGTAGGGATGTGAGTCTGCCCTGTCTGTCAGTATCTGATGAGTGGAGAGAATGAAGCATCAAACCTACAGCCTGAGAGGAGTTTAGAAAGGTGCATGGGATGGAAAGGTTCACAGAGAAACTACAATTTGTACCTCACCTGCTTCCACATGGCTTAGGGTTGATATATGGAGTATTTATTACTTTTGCCATTGAAAAACAAACCTGGAGTTTAATATCATTAATTTCTTAACCCTGTGACAATCTAAGAGAAGCCACTAGCCCTGACAGGTGAATATCCTTGACCCACTGAAATTACTCTTTGAGAAGGTGACTTACAAGCTTCCAGTTTTTTGCTGTGGAGTTTGGAAGATCCATCTTGGATGGGGTCATTTATTCAGAGCCCCATTGGCCTCTTGACATCTCTGTGCTAGGAAGTCTCGTGCACGACCACGATTTTGTCTGATTTGGGTTGGAGTATGTGTGTGTGGTAGATGGCAGTAGCCATCAGAGTATATAGTTGCCAACAGGAGGATGCAGCCAGGGACTGACACAGGTCTTAATTACCATGGGGAGCTGCAGCTGGCTGTGGCTGGAGTGAGCTGGCGTCTGCTTTTGCAGAGCACAATTTCTGCAAATAATTAACCAGCAGAACTCTTGATTCTCTCTAATTAATGAAGAGGAAGCCTGGAATCTTCAAAGTCCACAAATGTCATGCTGCCATTGTGTCAGGATTGATCTCCTTTGTTCTAGACCGAAAAGCATGCCTCTCCTGCCTCCCCTAATTCTTTCTAAATTGAATTTTTCTATTACTCGTTGTGACAGCTAGGGAACATGACTTCAGAAATTCACCCGGAGTTCGTGCCAGTATTAGAAGCCTGAATAATAATAATTTTTTAAAAGAACCATAATGGAACGGGCTTTCTGTCTCTGACCCAGAATTAATCACTGGGAAGAGGCACAGAAAGGAGCTCGTTAATTAGTGCTAATGGATCTTGTTAGGTGGAGGCTGAGTTCCCGGGAGTCTGCAGGGGACCGGGGGATGCATCCCCTTCTCTGGACATCTCTATGTGCTGTTAAGATTCTTGGTGATGGGATGATGGGAATTTGCTTCCAGGAGACAGAGATTTGTGACAGGGGCCACAGAAGAGTTAAGTGGGAGCCGACTGAGGCTGACAATCAGGAGCAGCTTCCAGGAACGAAGAGGGAGTGGTCGTTGTCACTGAAAGTGACCTTGTGGCCGTCTCTGAACTGCAGTGAAATCCACCACAGGAGCCAAAGTAGGACCTATTAAATCCCAGGTCAGGTCATAGTGTGCTCCCCGCCCTGGGAAAGAATGCAGACTTCATCCCTCAGCCTCTGAGGACCTATCTGTCTGGCCACGATTCCCTCTATACCCTCATTTCATTCCTCAACCCTCTGCAGTGTTATGTGCACCTCAGGGCCTTTGCACTGGCTATGCGAAGCATTATTTCCCAGCCAGGTAATAAATGAGCACATGCCCTGTAAAGGAGAGTCCTCTCCCCATTCTTCTTGTCCTGTTATATTTTCCCCTCCTATTTTGTCGCACATGCCTATTGTTAAACCTCAGCTGCCTCCTCCCTTTAGACTGTGAGCTCCCGGGGACAGGAACACATCTGTTTCATTTGCTGTTATATTCCCAGCACCTAAAAAATGGCTGCCAATTCAATAAGTCTTCACAGAGTGAGTGAGTCAGCTGAAACACTAGAGAGTATCTGAGGTGTGTGTGACGCCCATGTGTGTGTGTGTTCATCCTGCACGCCCGCACATGCACTGTGCAAAGGCCGCTCTTTTACTCAAACAGCAAATGAAGTGCTGCTGTTTCCTTTGGCTACCAAATGCTAATAATTAAAGCACACACCGTGATCTGCATTAAGTAGTACTTGGAGTGCGTTCCTCTCCCGGGAGTTTCCAGTAGGAAGAATGAGACTAATGACGGTTTTCTAGAATGGGGTTCCTCAGTGTCATCCCTAGGGGTACATACTCTTCTTCTTCCTCAGTCCACAGAGTAAGGAGATTTACTGAGTGTTGATGGGGATGGGGCAGGGAGAGCAACTTGGAGAGAGCCAAAAAATAATGCATTCAAAAGCATTTAAGACATTCAAGTATCAGTGTCTTGAGCATCCTGGCCAGGCCACAGCAGAGCGCTGTGGGCAGGGATGCAGGAAGCCAACAGCCCCTGCCACTTCCATGCTAAGTCACCAGGCTATAGATTCCCATTCTCCATCCTTTCCATTGACTATCAGGCGGGCCCTGGTGTACACCTGTAAGTTTCTAAGAGTTAGGAAAAAAAATCTGGTCTAAACTGCAGCATAGACATACAAGGTCCCTGAAGACTAGCCAGTGTCAGGCTGCCAAGCTCTGCTCTAGAAGGTCTGTCATGAGAGCAAGCCTGAGCAGAGAAAAGTCATCAGCCAGCTGCTGCTGGGCTGGGCCCTGTCACCACACCCAGGCTCTAGCCCTAAGTCTGCAGCTGCTAGTGAAGTCACTCTCCTACACTGTGATTTCCTTGGTGGTTTGGATA